TTGCCAACTCCTGAATTTGCAGGTTTTATTTTAAATTGCTATGTACTGTAGTGCCTCCAGTAATAAACAACCTAACAAGCCGACCAAGTTTTGGTCCCCTCCCCTTGAAAAAACCTGAAATGACGCCGCTGGTTATACAAAACAATAATTATATTAGTTATTATACTATTTTATTACATTTATTCTTAATGGCAATACATGAACACCACCCTCACCAAATAAAATACCAATAATTTTCACTAATAATAAAAATCAACCCAGGCCCGCACCTAGGAAATTCTGGGCCCCAGGTAGCTGACAGAGTTTTGTCCCCCTTTCGTGTTTCAAACATGTGCTTATATTTTTAAAACTCGAAAAAGGGCGGGCCCCTATCTAGCTCGGGCCCCTGACAAGTTGCCATGGTTGTCTCCCCCACCCCGCCCCCCCCCCCCCCCCCCCCCCAGGCGCGGGTCGGATCAACCCCTAAAATTGAACTTTGACGTTTGTCGTTCATATACATTTACATATTTAAATTTTAATCCATCAAATAGTGTATTTTAGTAGTTTCCAATAAATACGTTTATTTAAAAAAGTCGTAAAAAAAGTTTTTTTTTTAAATGTTATATTGGTAAAATGCTCGTTTCTAAGGCCATTGCTTCACATAGTCGTTACATTACTCTTTTGATTTAAATGGGTGTGTTGTTTTAGTTTGTTTGTTTATATATATTTTTTTTTTAAAAATTCGCTGCAACCAAAATGCAATCCAAATCTGGCAGTGCCGTCTGGTATCTCCGCAGTCCGCTTCCCAGTGGAGTGGCCGTACTTTCCAACAACAAGGAAGGGATTATGACCGACATAGACTATATGTGTAGGCTACAAGTGTAGTGTAGGCCTAGATGGGTGGAGTTCTACATACTTATATTGACACAGGTTTACATTGGTTTTTCCCAACTTTGAATTCGCTGACATCATCTCCTGTCCTGATCGTTGTTCAGGGTAAGCTCTCACCCCCCCTCCCCCCACCACCCAATTGGCCACATGGTAGAGACATTGATCTCTAAACTATGCCGTACCATGAAGTAAACAAGAGTCGGTAGCAAAATGTAGCAAGGGTTCATGACAATTACAATATCGCCGCGTCAAATCTGAATATCGGACACCTTTTTATTTTGGTTAAAAGATATTTAAGATGTCTCCTGAGCACTGATTACATGGACCCATCAATACAATGACATTATTACATGGCAGCATTATTACATGATGGACCCATGATGATCCCAAACAAGCCAAAAATCAAGCTCCATAAACTGTGTAATTATTATTGTTAAGGAAAGAGATATTATAAAATGAAATAATGTTCCATTATCAATGTATATGATAGACCAGCTAAATTTACGTTGTGACATGCGGAGGACCTGGACTAGGTAATTAGTTTTTTCCCCCCTCCTAACAAAATTCCAAGGCATTGTGGTTACATCACCAAAAAAAAAATTATTTAAGAAAAAAAATAATTTTAATCTAGAAATTCAAAAGCTGGTCGCAAAGGGGGGGGGAGGAGGAGGGGGGTAGCTCAAGAATGTGTGAGGGAAGATGGGGAGTGGGTATAGGACACATAAATATCTAGGTCATAAGTTACTACCTGGTACCATGCATCCCAACACTGCCCAATAGAGATTATAATGTTAATTAATGTTACTGCCGTACATCCCACTAAAGATTTGTATTTTGACAGCTATTCAACCCAATAGAGAACTCGCACTGTAGCAAGATCTTTATTTTGACAGCTATGCAGCCCAATAGAGAACTCGCACTGTAGCAAGATCTTTATTGGGGTGTAACAAATTTAAATAAAGCTCCCATGTAGCAGGATTAGCAGGGGTTCTTAGCCAGGGGTGACTCCGGGAAGACTAAGAAAATCAGGTTTTTTTTTTTTTCATTTTTGTTAGCTTTTTTATCGTGGGGTTTGCTGAAAATATGTTTTGAAACCATGGTGGGGGGTTCGGGAAATGTTATGAAATCAAGAAGGGGGGGGGCGCTGCCAAAACGTTAAGAACCCCTGCAATAAAGTCCTATGTCACTTATGTAGGATGTGTGCGACTATCATAGTACAATGTAGGTCTGCAAATTATGTTACCGTAGTCCAACCCTCAATCCCCACCCCC